GAGCATACCATAATTCCCATAGTTTAGGGTCCTTAAGGTGATGCGGGAACCCATAATAAAGAGCATACCATAATTCCCATAGGTTTAGGGTCCTTAAGGAGATGCGGGATTTATATCGTCAACCGTTTCTCTGCTCTGATGTTGGGTTCTAGAGGATATGCTTCCTCTGAGGCTTCCGGAGCAGTCTAAACTGCCGTTCAGTTCAGGGTTCGCGTGCACAGTTTGATGTCAAACCTTTTGCCAGACAAGGCTCTTAACCCTGAAGCCGAAATCAACAAATCCTGATCCCTAAACCCCTACAGCGTTGCACCCCTAAACCTGCAGCCGCTGGAAGATTCGAGGAAGGATCCCTAAACCCCAAATCCTAAACCCTTCCTAAGCCCTTAAGAGCATAAGCTCTGAAGTGCTCCTGCGATCAGCGCGAGGCGGCGAGGTCAGGAACGGCGCCTTTAGCTATCCTGCTACTTTGAATGAGAATGAATCGGTTTAGGGATTTAGGGTTTAGGATAAGGATTGGCGGTCGTCAAATGGCCTGTTTAAGTTTATGGTTTTGTACAAGGTTGACCGGCAGCATTGTCGGGTTCCAGTTGGTTGTGCCAATGTTAACGAACGTTTTATGAGGGTTTCAGGCTTGGTATTATGAGTGTGCTATACAGGTATCATGGTCTTCATGACTGCGTATGTAGGAGTTAGCACTCAAGCTTGAAGATTTAGGGGTTCATGTTTTCGGGGATCACTCAGGACTTAGGGTCAATGGGGCCTTTATGATTACCTATACTATTGCGGGGGTTCCTTGTTACAACTATAGTATAATATACCCCAAACCCTATTGAAATCATTAAGGCCCCTACATTAGAAGGTGGCACGTTGAGATACTAATGAACTTCCCTTACGTCCTAAAACAGGCAAACATTTGTAACTGTCTTGTTTTTTTGGGGGAGAAACATCAACCCACATGTTTGTCGTCGATGAGGTTCCTATCCTAGCAATGCTTCATTCTTCTTCAAACTATGTACACATCCTTGTCTCTCCTTCGTCTCTGTCTCTGTCTCTCTCTCTCTCTCTACTAGCCTCTCTTTCTCTCTCTCCCTCTCTCTCTCTCTCTCGCTCTGTCTCTCATGTGTGTATATATGTATATATAACTCGTATATATATATATATATAGGCACCAGTACATACAGACGCATACATGCCAGAGTACATACTTACATACATACATACTTATTTACTTATAGAGTTTATTTATGTTAGTTTGTTGGCATCCTGTACGCTCGCTCACCTACCACGAAGAATCCTACGCAAATCGCAGGTTGCAGGATCGGGTTGCTTTTCCTCTGAAGACGAGCCCCAGGGTCCATGTGCCCGCAGTATATAGTTAGGCCTCCACGTTCCTATATAGGTTCTGTTTTGGCCAAACGCATATACGTTATAGGTACAAGGGCCCTTGGACAAGTCTGCTGGTAAGGTTTATACTGCTAAAGATGCATGTGCAGGTGCTGTAGTCGTCGGAATGAGTAAGGTTCTCCACCCTGAACACCTGAAGCGCCAACCAAAACGCTTGCCCGTGAAGCTCCATGCGGTTATTGATAAACAGCCTGGAAGACCCTAACCCTCCAGGTACCTACTATATAGGGGCCCTTTAGGGGCTCTAGTTCCCTCTATAGTAGGTACCTGGAGGGTTAGGGAAGAAGCAAGGTTGTCTTTCCTGCTCGTCCTGAAGACGCACCTTGGCACCTTTTCGGAGAGACCCTGGGGGTTTAGGGTTTAGGGTTTGGGGTCTAGGGTTTAGGATTTAGGGTTTAGGGTTTGGGGTCTAGGGTTTAGGGTTTAGGGTTTAGGGTTTAGGGTTTGGGTAGGAATGTCATGGTGTGCCTTCTGTTCGAGATTGTAGCTTGGGGTTTCGCTGTGCCGAGGGTGTTAGGCCCCTCGTCTGAGCATAGTTGCGGCACGCTGACTGGGAAGCGACTCTGAATGCGACATTCCGTCGCTTTCCTCCGCCCCCACTCTAAACCCTGAATCCAAAACCCTACTCTAATGATTATGAAGGCCCCCATTGAAACCATTATTAGTCACAACAAACCGTTAAGGAACCCCTTTCTGGACATCTTCTCTTTTGAAGATTAAACCGAAGCCAACAGCCCTATGAGCAGGCAGGAGGCCAACAAACAGTTCTGGGAAGCAATCTCCGACCTGACCATGATGTGCCACTTACTGCGCAGTATTTCGATGACCATCTGTGGTATGGTGACTTGGGAGGTCGATGCAGAGGTTCAAGTGCACGCCAAAAGAGTAATACGGCTTCTGGCTCTCTACTCCCTGGCGGTCCGGGAGTTCTTCCAGCGCACTGGGAAGAATGCCACCACCAGTAAAGAGCAGATGGACCGACTGCGACAGGATGTGGCAGCATTGGCAGGCGATACAGAATGGTCCATCTTGTATCCAGGAGAAGACAAGCGTGTATCAGGCTCGGCTTCCTCTCATGACACCACTCGACCATCGATTATTCTCTTTTGGGTCACGCTCTCGCTGCGCAAGATCATGGACTACCAGGCAACTGGCTTCAGAAATTATGCAATTAGTTTTTGAATTTGGTTCCTGTTTGCGTAACTGACAGTTAATTAATTGTATCATCTAGTTGCCACCGATGTGACGAGACAGTTTGTGCCTGCTGCTCAGGCAACAGAAGCACCAATCATGAATGGTTTGCTGACGCAGCTGGCTGCCGTAGGCGCCTGCTTCTGGAATATGGACAAGATCGACAAGACCCAGTTCCCATTTCCGTACTGCCAGGTTGTGCGCCTGGGCTTCGACGGTAACCCCGCTCAACCCCGAACCGTGCACTGTATCGGGTAATGTGAGAAGGTGAGGGTGTCTCAGCAATCCGACGGTTCCTGTGGCCGAGACGGGGTGACGGTTCTGTTGCTGGCATGAACCTATCCCGCTTCACACACCTGTTCCATTATGGAACATAAGAGCGCTTCAGGAAATGGCTCACGATCGTTTTTCTCGGCATTCTTCCATTTAGCATTGCCGCAGTGTGCGGTTGGTGGACGCTGATGTTCTCCGCAATTGCGGCAATTGGCCTCTTGGTATCAACATTCCAGACCAAAAGGCAACTGTCGTACCAGGAAGCCCAAAGGTTCAGAAGTGGTGGCAGTTACGAGCAGCTTTCTAGCAGCAATTGTGCTTACAAGAGCAGCACTGGCAGTAGTGGTACAGTAGTAGTATTAGTAGTAGTAGTAGTAGTAGTAGTAGTAGTAGTAGTAGTAGCCGTAGTGGTATAGTGGTAGTGGTAGTGGTATTGGCAGTGGTAGTACTAGCACTAGCACTAGTAGTAGTAGTAGTAGTAGTAGTAGTAGTCGTCGTCGTCGTAGTAGTAGTAGTAGTAGAAGGAGAAGTAGGACCAGGAGTAGAAGCGCAGTCGCTGTTATCGTAGTCGTGGTAGCAGTAGCGATGCCCTTTGAGTAACGTACTAGCAGTATTGATCTGGCCAGACCCAGTACAACAAATATTCCAAACAGAGCCGTTTCTGTTCACCGAAAAGAACACCGAGTGCATGTTGATCACAGTTTGTGGATCCTGTTCAAAGATGGCTACGGATTGCAACACAGCTACTGCAGGTTTCTTTGGCTTAGATGAAGTGGCTGAGATTCTCGAGTCGCCATTTGGGAATGACCCCAATGACCTCGACCTACGTGGATATTGTGACGTTTCTCAGCTCTGGTTCAGCATGCAGGGTTTGTGGCTTCGGGGCTTGCCGTAAAGGTCGAGTCCTTCCAGGTTTCAGTCGTAGGGCGATGCATTTTGCCGGCTTAGTGGCGCTGCCTGTGTCATGGCTTGCTTGTCTTGCACGTATTGTAGAAGCCGAAAGCTTACTAAGCGTAGCACCTTGTTGTAATTATGGTATACTATACCCTAAACCTTTAGTCTAATTTCTTACGCCCCTATATTAGGGGGAAACTGTGTTTTTGCTCCTGATTCGGCAGCAGGCTCTGATGTCGGACATGGAACTCATATGCCAATGTCGAGAGTTGAAGCTGGACTTCGTTCTGAAAGAGAACGAAAAGGTCGATTTCTCGCATCTGCTGGCGAACTTTGACAAACAGAAGCAGTTTCATCAACACTTCAAACGGCTCCTCAGTCGCAACTCAGCACCCTAATCCATGGAAAGAGGCATGATATAAGTTGCGGAAAGTTTCAGGAAATCCTGAAACAAGAACCTTATATAGTTTTTTGTTGGATAGGTGTTTAGGTAGGGTTTACAAAGCTTTAGGAGTGTAGGCTTCAAGATTTAAGCGTAGGCTTCAAGATTTAATTTGTAGGGCATTGGTGGGCTTGCAATCTAGAATCTTGCATCATTGCTGGATGATACGCTTTTAGTTGGTGTTGATACTTGTAAGTAACACTTGCCTCTACCCGGAAGCCTTATTCTAACAGATTGAGGCCACTTCTTATATAACGGAACCCTAAACCCCAAACCGTAAACCCCTAAACCCTAAACCCTAGGGTTCAGGGCTTACGTTCTGGGACAGAGGGTCGAAGGGCCGAAATCCGATAGTCCCGGGCTTCGAGTTGAGGGTTTTAGGGTTTGGGGGTGTTAGGGTTTGAGGGTTTAGGGTGTTAGGGTTTGAGGGTTTAGGGTTTGAGGGTTTAGGGTTTAAGGGTTTAGGGTTTCAGGGTTTAGGATTTAGGGACCTCGATTTGTTGTAAGACCTCTTTTCGGGTTACCGCCGCCTACCAGATTTCCGGCTGTTCCATAGTCGGGTGTTCCGACTAAGCCTAATCCCTAAGCCCTGGGCTATGGAACCCGAGCTGCAACAGTAGTGGGTCCGCCCTTCCAGATCAGTCGAAGCCCTAAACCCTAAACCCTTTATTAGCCCTACCAGCAGTGCCCGTTAATAGTGGGTAGAGGGTAGAAAGGTATAATAGGGGGGGGGGGTGCTGGTAAGCCCTAAACCCTACAGCTACTTGCAAAGGTCCCGGCCAGCCCGAGTCCAGGACTTTATACCCTAAGGCTCCATGTGCCCATCTAGTGTATACTTAGGCCTTAAAGAATACAGATACTTTACATGAAATCCGAAGTCCTGAGTACATACTATATAGGCACATGGAGCCTTAGGGAGAATGCCCCACAAGAAGAGCCTGTGGATCGGAGAACCTATTCTTTGATGCAAGGCAAGGGTTTAAACTCGATAGTGTATAAGTAGAATAGGGTTTTGGGGGTTACTTAATATAATTATAGTATAATGTACCCCCAAACCCTATTCTAATTCTTAAGACCCCTATATTGGTGTGGTCATTTTGAGGATGTGTTTCAGGGGTTCAAGGTTGCCGGGTGTGTGCCTTTGTGTCCGCATGGCTCTGGGCATTTCCCTGCGCACCAGGCAGTCCGTCGCATTGGCACAGTCGGGCGAATTCTCACGCGACAAATCGGGCGAATTCTCACACAGCTCCGGGTCACAAGAGGAGGCGGAGCTTGCAATTTCACGGCCTGTTGTTCAGTCGCAGCAGCCAATACTTTCATTCGTGCTCTTGCTATGGAATCTTCCTGTTGCTAGTCTCGTCACTTTCATGTTACATTACCAAGCAAGCCCCCTGCCCAGCATTATTTGTGGCTGATCGTGGCATGCAGCACAATGTGCCCTAAACCCCAAAACCCAAAATCCTAAACCCTACGCAACTCAGGACTGCAACCCCCCAGGCCCGAACAAATCTGTACATGTTCAGGCAAGCGAATCTCTTCTGTTGAAAGTAAGAAAGCCGAAGCTCGGAGAACCTGCTTATAAAGTGGACCTAAAGGAGTGCATTTCCGGTTCTGTTGAGGTACCCAGAGCCTCCAATATCCCTTAATTAAGGAATATACCTTAAATCTTATTAGGGTTCCTATTGTAATTTAGGGTTTAAGGGGTTTGGGAGGCTCTGGGTCCTTGGTTCTTGGCAGGAAAGAATATGGTGCTTAACCTGGAACTCCAAATCCTCCAGCCTGAGTCGAATTAAATCTGCGAAGCATTAGCGGCATACCCTGAGGCTTCAAGGACTCATAGTATAAGGCTTTCGGGCCCAAAGACCATACTATAAAAAGGCTTTTGGGCTATTTGTGAGCCTTAGGGGTAGCAACCTACTACTAGTAAAGAAAAGCAGAGACGGGCTAGACCCAAACCTCAACCTTACACCGCCTAAATAACCGGCCTCTTTTGATTCTAGACCCTGGAGCCCCGAGAAGCCCTCGACTTTCCCACACCTTCAGCTTGTGCTCCGAAACCCTAAACCCTAAACCCTAAACCCTAAACCCTAAACCCTAAACCCTAAACCCCCAATCCTCAGCCCCAAAGTCTCGAACTGACCCCAAAGCCAAGTCATGTCCTGGTCAGGGTTTAGAGTTAGGGGTTAGGGTTTAGATAGGGGGGTATTCGCAGGAATATTGAGGTTTTGTATAGCCCGACACGAGCGATGATGAAGAGAGGCTGGCAGATCCGGTCTCAAGAAGGATGATGGCATCCGGGGTGAGGCCTTGGATTCTGTGATGCCCGGAGCTGTCCACACGTCACGGGGTGAGTAGGGCTTCTGTTTGGGGTGTAGCCGTGGATCCAAACCTTGTAGTTATATATGGCGTGGAAACCTGAGAATTTGTGGGGCTAGAAGCCAGGGGTAAGATTCGTCGGGATTTACGGTTTAGAGGTGGAGGTGACTAGGATTTCAGCTCAGGGTCAGCTTTTCGGTGAACTCGGGCTTTAAGATTTGGGAAACCCTAGGCCCTCTTATTATAGAGCCCTGGAACAAGCAAAAAAAAAGCTTCAGGGGTAAACCCTGGAGGGCTATGGGATCTGGCACTCTAGGTGTGCCTAGAGGGCTCAGAACGATTAGGAATAGTATTTAGGAATAGTATGCGACTCATAGTCCTTGTATAAAGTACACCATTCTGTACCCCAAGGCGCCTGAGCCACCATTAAAGTACCCAGGGTCTCTGTTCGAAACATCAATCCCTCTATACTAGGTTTCTCGAGGCAAGCCGTGAAATAGAAAGCTTCATCAACGTTTCTACCTGGTGCATCGCCGGTTCTCTTGTGGGATTGGCAGGGATCTATGTTAGGCTTGGGGTTTACCAGCACCCTCATGCAATATAGGGACCTTCATGATCATACCTATACTATTTTGGGGTTTTCCTTATTGTACTTATATAATATACACCAAAACCTTGTTCTAATTCTTAAGGCACCTACAGTATCCTTGAATTGCGCTCGTCCGCGGCATAGCAGCAGGCAGCTAGGGAGTCAATAGGGTGCAGGGTTTTCGGGTTTAGGG